CAAATAAAAATTAAAACTGAATTATCATTACTGAACTTATAATAGCCTCGATTCCATTAAGCTTAAGAGCTCATTTTAGTTTGCATAAGAAACATGAAATTGTGAATCACAGAATCCTGAATTCTTTTAGACTTAAATTCTACACTTGATTTAGCAGTCACCGTTCTGTTTATGAATTTGCCTAGAATTGATTTTACCTCTGTAGTTTACTACCTTGAGGAATGTCATGTAGTTGTAAATGCTCAGTACATATAGGATACTTAGGATCCTTTAGGATCCACCCACAGATACATCTTGTTAAAATAAAGGCAGTGAGCTCTACTAAATGACATATATAAAATAAATGAAAAAATAAGATTTTTATTTCTGGAGAGCCATACTTGAGATCTCAGAGACCTAATCAAAATATAAGCTTGGGCCAGGCATGGTGGTGCACTCCTATAATCCCAGCACCGAGTAGGCTGAGGCAGGGGAATCACCACAAGTTTGAGGACAACCTGAACTTCATAGCAAGACTGTTTCAAAACCAAACCAAACAAACAAACAAACAAACAAAAAACATAAGCTTGGATAAAACATGTGAATGCAAAGAAAACTTCACTAATAAAAGAAATTATAAAGACCTTGATGATAACATGGGACAATAGCTATCATGGTACAACCGTGGCTGAAGTTTGAAGAGACAAATTAAGATTTAGGACACAATCCCTCAGAAAAATCTGAAAGGACAGTAAAGAGAGAAATGAAATAACTAGAGAGTTCCATCAGAATGAAAGTTACTTTGCAGAAGAAAACAGGGAAGAGTTCTCAAAGTAGAATGCAGTTTCACTGATAATTGGGACTCAGTTGGTTGTATACTGAAGAAAAATGTGGACAGATGTCATTGATTATATACAAAAGTTCTTGTAAAGAACTCATGTTTCCTGGAATACATAAATAAGGTTTTGATTTTATTTTAATACAGAGTGTTTCAGATACAATAGTCTTTGACATACAATAGGTGTTCAGTGTTCACTAAATGAATGGATATTCACAAGTTTTTATGCTCTGAATAAAATGAGGAAATCCTTAGATAAGTATTAACAATGGATTCTTAAAACATGTGTGTTAGAATTTTATAATTGCCTTAAAAATGCACTACAGAAAAAGTTGTTTTAATAAGTATTTATACTTAAACAATTAAATGATCAAATCACCATATGTACTGCACATACTGTATGATCAAAAAAAGTCCCTAAGTGATAATTGCAGTATTCTAGCAGTCCTGCTAATACCAGGTTAAACATTTTATCTTGCCACCTCTTTACAAGGTAATACACTTTACCGTAGGGGCAAGAAAGGAACTAGTCGCTAAGTAATATAAAAGGAAGTATAATTTATAGTATAATTGAATTATGAATTGAGAGTAAGATATTCTTAAATCTTGGATTGCAAGGGAAATTTGTAAATGCTTAATACACTAGTGTTTCTACTGCCAAAATCCTATTAGCTTATTAATTGCATTCTGTGTACTACATCTGCAAATGATTGCTATGTAGTTTGTTTTTAAGCATTAGCATAAGAAATTTATATTAATTTTAATTTTGTTTTAATTTTAAAATACCTGTATTATATTAGTAGCAAAAGAAAACCAGCCCAGAATCCTTGTAGGAAATGCTTTATTTTAAAGTAGAATGATGGTATCTGCTCATCGTGTACTAGTGCATGTGCTATCAAAGTGATTTTGTGAAGTGGGAATGAAGTTTGTAATAATTCATCCATACTCCTTTCCTCCAGACCAGTGTGTGTGTAGGATGACTGATGGCACTGTTAGGTGGTGTTGGAACAGACTTAAATGTCCTGCATAAAAAAATGAACTATATGCTGCTACCTGTCTCATAAGGTCCTGAGTTCGATCCCTGATACTGCCAAAAAAAAAACTATAATCTTAGCCTAATTAAGATTTGTCTTTCTAAACAACTTTTTAAAAAATATCTAGCTTTGAGGCCAGACACATGCTAAATAGAATTAAAATATTAAATATTAGCTTTTCCAACATATTTCATCTGAAAAATTGCTACATTGGGACATTTAAAGTTTATTATGAAAAAGGCCTTTTTTCAAGAAAGACTTCAAGCATTTTTTAAAATTTTGTCTAAAAATAAAAATATTCATGTTAATTAAAGAATATCAGTAGCTAAGGTTGTAGCTCAGTGGTAGAACACTGCCCAGCCTACTCAAAGGGAGAGGGAGAGGGAAAGAGGAGGGAAGGAATATAGGGTGAGGGAGAGAAAGAAGGAAGAAATGAAAGACACATACACCCTCAAATACTTTCTTGAACGAAATACTTCCTGGTGTTCTCTGCCTGTCATTCAAACATAAAGCATAGTTTTCATTTTTCTATAATGGGCTTACCATTACACAAACTAAAAATGCCAAAAATGTTGCTGGCTTCTGGGTTTAATCTAGCCAATTAGCAAAGTCTTAGACATCTGAAAAACCAACAAAACTGGAGAAAGTAATCCTTTTTTATTCCAACTTTTACTAACAGATTTCTGTCACTTATTTCTTGATGTAATTAATCCTGAATCAGTAGAACTAATTAATTTTTTAAAATGCTATCTCAATAAATATTTAAATATAACCTGCATTTATTTAGACCAGGCTTTTTACCTGTGTTTATGTTCTTGAGTGGAGGGATGGGGTAATAAAGGAGTCTATGGCAGTCAAATTAAGACTCCAAGAAATCCTGCAGGAAAGAAACTTGGATCCAAGTTATACTTGTTTCCAAAAATGTTGGTATCTGACCATAGAATCTTTTAGTATTTTTGAGAAATGCAGAACTTCTCTCTAAATATTTATTCCAGGTATGTTATAGTGATCCTATCACCCAATGCAAATATAAAAGCAGTCATTCCTGAATAAGATCAATTTCCTGATTTAGAACGAGGTAAGAGTTAAAGTGCCCTTTGCCACTTCACTTCATGTGTAAGGAAGGGGTGAGGCACTGTTAATTATTTCAGCATTGGTGTCCAGCTCACAGCTTCCTAAGCTTATTTTCAGTTAGCTTCTCACTGTAAAGAAATGTTGTTTTTTAATATGCCCTTACAACATACCTGATGTAGTAGTAGTGTCATGCTGAAGTTTCACATGGACACTGTGGGTCAAAATGTTACACACAAACTTCTATTTTTTGGAAAATGTTTGCTACAGGGATCTTGGAATAGCTTCTTTTTAAATCCAAAACCAGCCATAAAAATGTAACTGTAGTTAGTTCTTAGAACTTATGCATACTTAAGTAGGTAGGCATTTTTTTTTTTGACAGAAGTATTCTGGATAATAAATGGGATTCTTTCAGTAGTACTGCCGTTACAGTAGAGATGGATTTTTCTGAAGAATTTGAAATCTCATAGCATTTTATACTATATCCTCACATACACAAAAAATAGAATTATAAAACTTAATTTCATGTGTATAAGCTCAAAAAATCTGAGAAAAGCTAAAGAGCTTATGTCAAGAAAATACAAAATTGGCATGTGTTAAGAATTTTAACAGAAAGTATAGACTTTTACAATACCCTTAGGTTATCACAACCAATTTTTATTGGTTCTGCTTTAGTAACTAAATTATAACGATCTTTTGCTGCACTTTTACCGTAAAATGTGGTAATAAGTAAAACATACATAAACTCTTTTCATGAATAACGTGACTACACTGAAACATATTTCAGATATCTCTTAATCCAGTTTTTCTTAAAATGAGCTCTGCAGACCCATGGGGTCCAGTACTTTTATATAAGCAAGTTTTAATTTAAATATTATGAGAGCATATTCTAGATCACCTTCAATGTCGAGAGTTGCAGTACGTTGACTGCACTACCATCAAGAACTCGGAATCTAAAAATAGCAAGTGTTGTTCAAACTAATCCATAAACATTCCCAGGAGGCCTTAAGTTCTCAAGTTTGAGAAACACTGTGCCAAACTTCTAGAATTGTGGTTGGCTACAATTGAGACTCACAACCTTTTGAAAAGTCTAATTTATACAACACATTTAACTTAAATTTCTCTCTCCCAAAAAAGCTATCAACTCAAGACCTTTTTAAAAAAGTATCAAATTTATTTCATACCTAGTTTCATTTTTAAATTAGAGCTGTTGGACAATCTAACTTAAAATTCATCATGAGAGGTGAAAACATTAAGCTATTAAATACTACAGTAAATACAATTACTGGACCATGCATTTAGAAAAGCCATATTTAATAGTAAAGAGTTCTGGTTTTACTACTTAAACAAATGATGTAATTTATCCTGTTGTGCAATTACTACTATTTCCAACCAAATTTTTCCAAATTTTGGGCCTTTTCCACTTACAAAGTATGAATTAAATGTTAACTCTTTAAGAAAAACTGAAGTTTTAATTTTTACCTCGAACTGTGGACAAAAAAGTACAGGACATCATTACCACGTAAGTTAAAACAAATGGAATAAAAATAAGTGTTATCTGTATAATAAGCAAATTATGTGATAAGATATTTTAACTATTTCACAGTTTTAGTACAAGAAAAAACTGCTTCCAAGGTACTGCAATGTTTGGCATTTTTTACTGCAAGTTTTAAATCAGTATTACTCAACTCATCACTATGAAAGTGGCAGTGTTTCTAGGTACAAAAATCATAATATCTAGTTGGTGGTACTATACATGATCAAAATAACACAAGTCTTTTAAAAATTAGTTTTTTAAAAATAAAGAATGCCTTGATAATTGCCAGGTGTCGCAAAGGCTAAAATGAGAAAAATACATAATAGATGTACTTGTTAATACTATTTCTTTGAAAAAGCCAGAAATGATTCCCAGAAATAAGCAATACTGATAAAAGATGTGATTAATATACTGTATCTCTTTTAAGCCCAAGCAAACTATCAATTCAAAGAGGGCAAGTTTGACTTTAACATTTTTAATATCCTTTGTCGAAAACAGGACCCTGTTTTAAATCACTATTTCAGTAGTGTTCATAATGTAAAGTCATTTGTTTCCATGGGTTATTTTTATTTCAGAGCATAGTATAAAATGGCAAATGACTAAGTCAATGCTAAAGGTTGATTGTTCCTTCTCTGAAATACCTGGAACCAGAAATGTTTTAGATGTTTTCAGATTTTGGAATACTTGCATATACATGAGACATCTTGAGGAAATTCATTTGTTTTATATAGGCTGGAAAAAATTTTATACATTTTTAGTACATCTGTATTTTGACTGAGACCCACGAGAGATCAGCTGGGGAATTTTCCACTTGTGGCATCACATCTTTGCATAGTTTTGGATTTTGGAGTATTCTGAATTTTAGAGAATTCTGAATTTGGAGCATTAGGAATCACTGATACTCAACCAGGATAATCAAATACTAATTTATAATAACTGCCAATGGCCTAAAAGTTACTACAGTATTGAGGTCACATTCCAGAATGATTCTTCTATATGGACAGTAATAACTTCCATGAAATCCAAAGAAATTTCATGGGGTCCTTCCAAAGCTGCCTAATTTTCCAATTTTTTTTTTTTTTTTTTTTTGTTTGTGGATCCTCTTCAATCTTTTTTCAGTCGTTTAGCTTTTGCAATATTTTCTTGACGTTTTTGTTTCTTCTTTTGCTCCTTCTCCCGGGCTTCAATCATCTTGGCCAATTTCCAGGACAGGACAGCACTTGCTAGGAACAGTGGAGTAAGAGCCAAAATAACTGTCGTAAGGAAACCATATGGGTCCTTTGCAGCCCATTCAACAACATATTCAGCCCAAGCCTTTACATCAAACATCTCTGTAGCAGTCTTAGGAAAATGGGTAGGGAAGAGAGGGAAAACAGAAAAAAATCATATGATTAATCAAATCATGAAAAAGTTACATCATATACCAGTTAACTCAAAATTCCATTATCACTCATTAGTGGTTTTTTTTGTTGTTGTTTTGTTTTGTTTTGTTTTGGTGTGGGGACTCAAACTCAAGTCCTTGCCCTTACGAGGCAATCACCAGAACCACTGAGCTAAATCACAAGCCCCATTAGTGGTTTTTAAAAAAATATTAATTAGTACCATTTTAATAAGGACTAGTATCTCCACTAAGGAAAAAATAATTCAACTAGGAAAACAGAATAGTGACACTTAAAAGATGTAAATTTACGGAAGATAAAAGTAAAAGCCATTTAGACTCTTATAAGGACTATGCATTTTCACAGGCTAATATTATATGCAAGACTGTAGCAGCAGACTTCAAGAACTCTGAATTGCACGGGCTCGTTTCAGGAAACAGCTGAATCCTGTTTGCCATTTGTTGACTGAGTACTAATTAACAAAAGTAAAAATCAAATTTCAAGTTTTAAAAAGGCAAGTCATAGACCATGAGAAATGCTCTCAGAAAAACGGAGGGAGTAGGTGGCTATTTCTAGTACTGAAAGAGAGGGGAAAGGGACCCATGATTCAGTCTGTATTTATATGCCAAGAGGTATAAGCAAAAAGTGATGTTACTTTATGCCCTTTCAGCTTTGAGGACCTGTACTAATATAAACATAATTTTAATAAATGAAGTAGCCATTACAAGAGTCATGAGTTTTGTTTCTTTTTTGAGTTGGGAGGGCCATCTTGCAAAAGAGAATGGTGTGGACTTGAGTGACATTTCCTATTTTGCCCAAAAGGCTTTCTCACCTTTCATGTTTGTGTCGTTCTCCATTCAATATAGAGAATAAGAATACTTTGGTAGGGAATGGCTACAGATACAACCACTTAAAATTTCAGCTGGGATTACCCCCCCCAAAAAAAAAAATCACCTACTTTATGCTTGAGCAGTGATCTCCAACTTTGTCCTGGGTGCCAATAAACTTCAGATGACCCTTATTTGTTGTTGTCTTCTTTAGTTTTAAAGCACTCTTGAGAAGTTAAAATTCTACATAGTGGATGAATGGAAAAGGATAAAAGACCATTTAATTCACAACTTTGAGGATAACTAAGGAATTGTTAAAAGGGAAATTTCTAAATTCAATATATGGAATCTATAAGTGACACGTAATATTGGTTTTAAACCAATTATAAGCTTGTAATACCTATTTCTAATTTGAATTTACCACAATTGCAAGTGTCCTGTAACAAAGTATTAATTATTGAATATTTTACTACATTATTTCAATAATTTATGAAATTCACTGACATATAAAAGACGGTGGCTCACATTACACATCATATACATTACTAGAGCTTGAATTTCCTATCCTAAAAACAGCTGACATTCATTCATATTTATTGGATTAGGTACATCATTACAAAATCAAACAGTCTTACTCTTTGAAGGTTTATCTATTATAAAACTCGTATCCTTAGGAAAATCAGGAGATAACCAAAACAAATTTTATGTTATCTACAATCCCGTCACAAGGAAACTGTCACTTGTTTTTAACTTCATTTTTTCAGTTGCTTCACATAAAAAAATAAAAATAAAGCATTCCCTGCTTTAAACTGAAGGCCCATCGAAATGCCTAAGACGTTAAACATCCTAGCTAGCCCCGACTTCATAAAGCTCCCATCCACAGTTCAAACTAGGTAACGCAGACATCGATCCCTCTTCTCCAGCTCAGTAGGAACTAATGTAAGTTTCAAAAAGAAGCAAAACAACTTTGCAAAAACGTAAAGCGGGAATGAAGGACCTGGTTTGCTGCAGTTTTATCCATTACTACAAGCACTGCAGTCCACACTCCTCACATCTGTTGCTTCGAACCCAGCTTCAGTGCCTCCCACACTCTGGGGAATAAATACTGCTCTTCCGCCCGAAAAGCTCATTTACCCTCCAGTACCCCCCTCCCCCAATCCTAAAGCAGCGCCGCTGGCACTGGACGGTCAGCCACTTCGTCCTTCGTCTGTCCCCACTTCCTACGCCCCCTACCCCACCTCGCTTACTCTTCTTCCCTTCCCCAGAGCGGCCAGCGCAGAAGCCACATTCGTGCCTGCCCCTTGTCCCGTCAGGCTCAGCCCTCGTGGCCGCCGGCCAGGAAAGACTCCCAGAATAGTGGCCCCCGAGAAGCCGGGCCGGGCGGCCACAACTGCGCCTCGGCCGAGCGCAGCGACTGGCAGCCCCCCAACATCGCGCCCCATGGGCTCCGACTCCCACTCCCAACTCACCACACACCGGAAGCAGGAAAGCGGAAGTCGCGGGCCTCTCGCCCCGCCCACGAGCCGGTCCTCTTGAAGAAGGTAGTGAGGAAGTC